CCCTAAACCCTACCCTAAACCCTAAACCCTTCTTCCCTTGGAAGCCAGGAGAGTTTCGTTATTTGGTCGCAGAGGCCTGAGAACAAGCAGCTCAGCCAGTAGGCTCCGCGTGAGAAGCCGCATTCCCTTTCGGGGCTACTGCTATAAGGCGGCCTAAACCCTAAACCCTAAACCCTAAACCCTAAACCCTAAACCCTAAACCCTAAACCCTAAACCCTAAACCCTAAACCCTAAACCCTAAACCCTAAACCCTAAACCCTAAACCCTAAACCCTAAACCCTAAACCCTAAACCCTAAACGGACTCAAGGCGAGGCTTCGGTTTGCAGATCGCCCGCACGTTGGCGCATCTGCGCAGGCAGGAAGCCTTGCATGGCTTTCCTGAGGCATGCTCAGGGCGGGTTAGTTAAGGGTTTAGGGTTTAGGGTTTTTAGGGTTTAGGGTTTAGGTTTAGGGTTTAGGGTTTAGGGTTTAGGGTTTAGGGTTTAGGGTTTAGGGTTTAGGGTTTAGGGTTTAGGGTTTAGGGTTTAGGGTTTAGGGTTTAGGGCAGGTTTGGGTCTAGGGTCTAGGGTCTAGGGTTTAGGGTTTAGGGTTTAGGGTTTGGCCATGAGGTTGCTTGGGGTGTAAAGGTTCTGTCAGATGGCGGTGAGAAGCCTCAGAAGCCCCGAGAACCCTGAGCCCTGAAGACCAAACTCCCAGTTCAGAAAACCCACAAAATACCCTAAACCCTAAACCCCAAACCCGAAACCCTAAACCCTAAACCCCCAACCCTAAACCCCTAAACCCTAAACCCTAAACCCTAAACCCTAAGCCCTAAGCCCTAAACCCTAAACCCTAAACCCTAAACCCTAAACCCTAAACCGCAACTAACATCTTGGCTCCCAGGTTCAAAAAGCTCTCCGAACATCTTTCGTTGGCGGAAAACTCTGGCAACGGTCGGTGCGAGGAGTCGGCGAGCTCTTCCTCAGCTGCGGGGGGGGGGGGGGGGGGGGGGGGGGGGGGGGGGTTTGGGGTTTGGGGTTTAGGGTTTAGGGTTTAGGGTTTAGGGTTTCGGCGGGTGTGGGCTGAGGGTTTTAGGGTTGAAAGGTTAAAGCCTTGGGGGTTAAGGGTTAGACCGTATAGGGTTGCATCTCACACACTGGCTCCGAAGAAGCCCCTAAACCCTAAATTCTAAACCCTAAACCCTAAACCCTGCAGAGGCTATAGGGGCATAGAGCTGAGGCCCCTACATCTACATCGTTGAGCGCCCACTTCTGTACCCTAAGAGCCTGACCTCATAAATCCTCCACCCAAGTCCCCCTAACACCCGAAACGCTAAACCACAAATTCTACCTGAAGCCTAGACCCAAGTGAAAGTTGCTGATTGTTACTGCGAAAGATGTTGCCGGCAACAGATAATGTGTCAGTGTGAGTTATGCTGTGCTGTGCGAACTGGTCATGCAACTCAGGGTTGCGGCAGAACTCCATCCACTGCCAAAGCAGTTGAATGACAAGCAGCTGCAACTTTGGCCATAAGACACGCGTGGCAAAAGGCATCTGAGTTGTACAAGTCATGGCGCAGGAAGCACAAGAAGGGTTTTTGGGGGTAGTTATAGTAGAGGGTTTAGGGTTTAGGGTTTAGGGTTTAGGATTTAGGGTTTAGGGTTTAGGGAATATTTTTAGAAACTATTGCGACCCCAAATTTACACAAGGCTACCGTCTCTGCTTCAACCGCACTCACAAATGAAGCCCAGCGGCCGAGAGGGCCACGAAGCGCTCCAAGAATATCCGACCTTGAAGGGTTTAGGGTTTAGGGTTTAGGGTTTAGGGTTTAGGGTTTAGGGTTTAGGGTTTAGGGTTTAGGGTTTAGGGATTATGTAGGGATTCAGGGGAATCAAAGCACACAACATGTTCAACCCTACCCCTGTGTAGGGTTCAGGACTCTGTCTTCGGGTAGCTACATGGGCCCTGAATACGGCCCCTTACCTCCTTAAAGGGTTCTGATGTGTGGGCCCTTGGGTTGTTTTTGGCTATGTCAGAGGTCCCTGTTTAAGGGCCCATACTAAGGGACTAAGGGTGGGTTTAGGGTTTAGGGTTTAGGGTTTAGGGTTTAGGGTTTAGGGTTAGGGACCCTGGGAGTAGCTGGGTGCTTCTCAAGGAACTGAAGGAGGGAACCTTGTAAGGGGACCTGGGTCGCTACTGAGCTATATAGGGACTATATAAGGTACATATAGGGGTTATATAGGGTTTAGGGTTTAGGGTTTAGGGTTTAGGGAAGAAGATCAAGAGTCCCTAGGCGTCCCTCCTTATACCGGAGATGTGAATGTCCGGGTCCTTTAACTTAGTAGCCCAGTAACCATATTGTAATCAGGGCACCCTTTTGTTGGTTTGCTTGCTTTATAAGGGAACCAGAACCAAAGAAAGGAAAAGGATACCACTCGGCAAGTTAAGGAACCCCAAGACCAACAAGAAGAACCCCTCAAAAGCCTTGAACCCCCCACAACCCTAAACCCCAAGACCCTGCACCCCTAAACCCCAAAACCCCCCAAAACCCCCAAACGCCCAACAAAAACCCAAAACAAACCCAAAAACCACAAACCCTAAACCCTAAACCCCTAAACCCCCAGGTTTCGGAAGCCCTTAAACTCCCCTCCCGCCCCTCCCCCGTCCCCCTGCCCCCCCGTCTCACGGGCGCAGAACCCAATCCCTAACCCTAAACCCTAAACCCTCAACCCTCAACCCTCAACCCTAAACCCTGAACCGGCCGCGGAACCATGACTCGGTGTGGCCTTTGAAGCCTCCAGGCACGGGGGCTCCTGGAGTGTTCTCAGAAACTTCGGGCATTGAGGGCCTTTTGTAGGGTTTAGGGTTTAGGGTTTAGGGTTTAGGGTTTAGGGTCTAGGGTTTAGGGTTTAGGGTTTAGGGTTCAGGGTTCAGGGTTTAGGGTTTAGGGTTTCGGGTTTAGGGTTTAGGGTTTAAGGTTTAGGGTTTAGGGTTCAGGGTTTAGGGTTTAGGGTTTAGGGTTTCGGGTTTAGGGTTTAGGGTTTAGGGTTTGGGCCTTCGGGTTCATGCCATCATCCGGCCCGGTGCGTCAGACCGGTGGGCCATTCCTCCTTGATCGCTTCGAACCCGGCTTGTAAGTGCGCTTGGAATCAGGTATCGCGTTCACCCCGCGAATCTGCTCTTCTATCTCCCCTACCGAGCTCGGTGGTGCTCATCTCAGCCCTAAACCCTAACACATAAACAGTTCAAAGCCCCCCCCCAACAAAACTTGAAAACCTGGACAACGCAAAGCACACCTACATCAGCAAACCTTGAACCCAAAAAATGCGCCCTAGAATGACCCTGCGAAATATGCCCTCAACCCTAAACCCAAAACTCCAAACCCCTAAACCCCAAACCCTAACCTTGAACCCTGTACCCGGAACCCTGAACCCTAAAGCCTAACCCCCCCAAACCTTGAACCCTGAACCCTAACCCCTAAACCCTTCGCTAAACCCTAAACACTAAACCCTGAACCCTAAACCCTAAACCCCCAAGACCGCTCCGATGCGTCGCCGGCGTGGATCTCTGCTTTCCGGCGCTTACGTTCTCCCTCCCGGCGCCGCTTCTCCTGGGGCTTTGTGGTTTGGGGGGGTTTAGGGTTTAGGGTTTAGGGTTTAGGGTTTTGGTTTTTGGGTTTAGGGTTTAGGGTTTAGGGTTTAGGGTTTAGGGTTTAGGGTTACCTGGGACTCCACTTGCCTACAGCTTCGTAGTAACTACCCTGAATGGATAGGTGTAACCCATAAAACTGTAGGCAAGGGGGGTCCCAAGTAGAGCTTACATCTTAGGGTTTTGGGTTTTGAGGTTTATGGTTTAGGGTGAGGTTTATGGTTTGGGTGCTTTGCTTACTGTAGCTTAGGGTATGGTGGTCCGTGGGTATATTAGGGGCTTAGAGCGTACCTGGCCAAGGGTTTACTGTGTAGGCCACCTAGCCCCTACGCCCTACACCCTAATAATCTAAACCCATGTTGACCTGTGGTTTCTTGTGTGAACATGACGAGCAGTATCTGCACAAAGCCACGTTTTCCACTCTGCTTGCGAGATGCCCTGTAGGTTGTCAGAACTTCCTGTACGCCCAAGACTGGGGTTCACGGTTTCGGGTTTAGGTTGGGATGTTCTCCCTTCTGCTAGCAGTCCTTAGTGGGATTATTATTGGGGGGTTACCATATTCCGTATTCCCAATTAAGGACTGTCAGTATATAACACCAGCACACCCAACAAAAAACTTACCTTGGCCGAGGCTGACTCTGCGCAAGCTCCGCGCTGATCTGATTCCACTTAGAAAACAGCAATCCGGACTGAAATAGAAGCTTTTGACCTAGGTTGTCAGTCCCGGACCACAGCACAGCAAGAGGGCCCTAAACCCTAAACCCCTAACTCCCAACCCCAAACCCTAAACCCTAAACCCTAAACCCCAAACCCTAAACCCTAAACCCTAAAACATGAACCCAAACCCTAAACCCTGAGAAAGTCTTGCCGGCTCAGAGTTTGCGCTGGGCGTGGCGGGCTCTGAAACAATGCTGCTTGCAACACAGGACTCCACGGTCGCCTTGAACATGCTCAACAAAAAAAAACACGAATTCCCCTTACGAAAAGCAAGCCCTCACCTGCCAGCAAAAACGGCTCTCAGATAAAGTCTAACCACAAGAAGCAACCCCTTCAGCCCCTTGAACCTCTAACCTCCACAAGAAAACAACCCCCAAAGCCCGAAACCCGAAACCTTGAATCCCTTGCAAAACCCATGGTAAACCCTAAGCCCTGAACCCTAAAGCCCTAAAGCCTTAAAGCCCTAAAGCCCTAAACCCTAAGCCCTAAGCCCCAAACCCTAACCCCTAAACCGTAAACCCTAAACAAAACCCCTTCATAACCCCCAAACCTCTACGCCTCCGGACCCCGCTTCAGCCCCCTAAACCCTTAAACCCCAAACCCTAAACCCTAAACCCTAAATCTCCTCCTCCGGACCTCGCTTCAGCCGCAGGGCATCGGCGCCCCGGATCTTCTTCTCTTGTTGGCTCCGCGGCTCGGCGCTCCCGGGCTGCAGCCTCGGGGGCTGTCGGGGGGCTTTGGGGGGGGGGGGGGGGGGGGGTTTAAGGTTTAGGGTTTAGGGTTTAGGGTTTAGGGTTTAGGGTTTAGGGTTTAGGGTTTAGGGTTTAGGGTTTAGGGTTTAGGGTTTAGGGTTTAGGGTTTAGGGTTTAGGGTTTAGGGTTTAGGGTGTAGGGTTTAGGTTTTAGGGTTTAGGGTTTAGGGTTTAGGGTTTAGGGGGGCTTTTGGTGGGGGGGGTTTTGGGGGGGCCTTTTGGGGGGGCTTTTGGGGGGCTTGGGGGGCTTTGGGGGGCTTTGGGAGAGATTGAAAGGGGTTGGTGAGGGCCTCTGAAGGGTTCTTAAGGGTTTTGATGTCTTTAAACGGTTCTTGAGGGTCTTTGAGAGGATGCGGGCGGTATAAAATTTTCTACTTTTCTTTCCTGACATGGGACACCTTGAAAAAAGGGTTCCCCGCTACATAGCACAACGGTCACCCCAATGACAGCCTTAACAATCACTAGAAAAGGGTTTTGGTGTCATCGTCGTATAGTTGTAGAGGGGCCATCAGGGAATACTACTTGCAATTATTTCGACCCTTCGAGTAAACAACCCAGGGGCCCCTTGCGCTTCTTCGCATTGTCAGTCTGCGTCCGGGCGGGCGGGGCCCCACGGAAGAGACGGGCAATGCCAAAGCGCTGCCAGAAAGATGTCCTCGGCGCCTTCTGCATTCTGCCGTCGCCTTGGCTGGACGGCTCGCTCTCGACCTCTCCTATACACGGTTCTTTGGGGTCTCGCGCTATCAAATGCGCAACACCAAACATCATACAATCGTAAGTCCAAGTCATAGATAAGCAAAAGCCCCCTCTACCCGCCCTCCCCCACCAGGTAAAGCACTAATCCTCAACCCCGAACCTCTAACTGGCTAGTTCTTTGTAGGGAACAAGGGAATTAGGGCCCTATATAATCCCTTAAAGGATATATATATATATATATATGGTCACCACCCCCTATATATATATACATATACATCATATATATATATATATTACAGGGCACTAATTCCCTCATTCCCTACTAAGACCCAAGGAAAAGCCCTTAAGCCGCGGCCTGCGTCGCGCTCCTCCTCCTGCGCTTCATCGCCTCAGCGGGCTCTGTTGGTTTGAACTTTGGGTTTCGGGGTTTTGGCCCTGAATCTAATCCCTCAAGCCTAATAAACCCTAAACCCTAAACCCTAAACCCTAAACCCTAAACCCTAAACCCTAAACCCTAAACCCTAAACTCTAAACCCCAAACCCCAAACCCTAGACCCTAGACCCTAGACCCTAGACCCTAAACCCTACGCTACTCAGCAACCAGGTCGCCACTGGCCCCTGGCTCCTTTACGCCCACGGCAGCCTCATCTGCCGTCACCTTGAAGGTATGCTTCGTGGTTTAGGGCTTGTAATTAGGATTGAGGGTTTAGGGCTGAGGTAAGGGTGTAGGGCTTGAAGAGTTCAGGGTTTATAGATCAGGGATTTATAGGCCTTAGGGCTTGAGGTTTGGGGTGCAGGGCTCAAGGATTTCGTTAAGGACCACTCCAACCGCTGCACCCACCACACCTTGAGACCAACCCCTGTTTCCAAGCCCGTTGTAACATTCTAGAGTCTTGGCCCTGGATTCGTTCAGCAGAAACCCCCTTAAACTCTCAGCCAGGAAACTAGACAGGCGGACAGAGTATTCATAGGTTCCTTCGCCCTTCTCTCTGTTACTGCCTCGAAGACACTGGATTCTTTACAAGGCCCATGTGTGCGCATTTAGCTCTATTTGCAAGTGGGATTATAAGGTTGATTGTTATACTTATATGATTGCTACCATTCATGTTCGTACATATTCTTTTTCTTGCTGTGATGATTACTATGACGAGTATTATTACTGCTATCATCATCTTAATTCTTAATCATCATCATCATCATCATCATCATCATCATCATCATCATCATCCACCGCGGCAAGAACATGTCCTTGTCCAGCGAGCGGCTTCAGTGCTCAGCAACGGCCGATCTTCACGGCTTGGCGCGCATGCCCTTTGGACGGCTTACTGTGCTAACGAAAACGAGAGCGATCCGTACGCTATACGTGGACCTCTATCGGCAAAAGAATGATGAGGCAGACTAGGAGGGCATCATCAGCATCATCATCATCATCATGATTGATGTTATTCTGATGATGATTTCTTTATTATTGGAGCCCCTTTGATGGTATACTTTGGGATCCGGAACCCTACACCCCGCACCGCCTGCCTCGAAGTAGTGGCCTTCGTAGCTCAGGATCACCTGCTTGCTCCTGGCTCTTCACGCGTCAGGGTTTAGGGTTTAGGGTTTAGGGTTTCGGGTTTAGGGTAACCTTTCTTCTCTCGTCAGGTTAACCGACTTGCTGAGGACCCCGGGCCAGAGAAGGTTAAGCTTTCAACTATGGTAGGCTTACATATACACACCCAAAAGGTTCAAGGTTACCCTAAACCCTAAACCCTAAACCCTAAACCCTAAACCCTAAACCCTAAACCCTAAACCCTAAACCCTAAACCCTAAACCTACTCAGCTACTAAGTTACATAATCCCTCCCCCCTTTCTTAAAGTTTGGCAAGTACGGAGCAAAACAAGTTCAGTCAGGTACCCGAAACCATAAACCCCAAAACCCCAAACCCAAAACCCTAAACCCTAAACCCTAAACCCTACATGCAGAAGCCAGCCAAGCGGCTTCTTGGCTTCCTTCTCTGCCAGGCTCGGCACGCGGACGATCTTCGGCAAGGCGTCGCCGGTCACGCGGACCAGAGCATCCTCGCCCTGGGTGGCTTTGGATTTCAGGGTGGGCGGACCCGAAAAAACCTAAGCCTCCCGAAGCCCCTGGGCCTGGATGCTTCCAGCACGGTAGAGGCAGGACACGAAGCGCTGCCACACGCCTCATATGGGAGGGTTTAGGGTTTGGGGTTTAGGTTTTAGGGTTTAGGGTTCAGGCACCCACCCCCTCTGTTTTAGGCTCCCAAAGGGGTGCAGAATATTGCAGAATCTTGGAGGGTCTGTTGTGGGGCACATGGGACGTGTGATTCCCTAATTCTCTACTCAGAACTGAAACGGTAAGAAATACGCCACTGCACCAGCCCCCAAAACCCTAAACTGCCCACACTGCCTAAACCCTAAACCCTAAACCCTAAACCCTAAACCCTAAACCCTAAACCCTAGACCCTAGACCCTAGACCCTAGACCCTAGACCCTAGACCCTAAACCCTAAACCCTAAACCCTAAACCCTAAACCCTAAACCCTAAACCCTAGCCCTAAACCCCAAACCCTCAACCCTCATAGCCCTCAACCCCAGAGGCACCTGGGAGCGCGCAGCTGGCGGCCGCATCGCCTGCGCCAGCCTCTGTGCGCGACCAGAGGCTTTGGAGTGCTGGGTTTGGGGTTTAGGGTTTAGGGTTTAGGGTTTAGGGTTTAGGGTTTAGGGTTTAGGGTTCAGGGTTCAGGGTTCAGGGTTTGGGATTTGGGGTTTGGGGTTTAGGGTTTAATTAAGGGTTTAGGGTTTTAGGGTTTAGGGTTTCGGGTTTAGGGTGATGCATGTCTGCTGTCAAAGACTTGTCAGGGCAACCTAACTTGGACATGTTACTCGCACCAACCCCGAAAAGGACGTGAGAGCCATTTTCCAGACAGCGCGGCGCTTTTATGGGCAGTTGGTTGGAGCGGTTGGCGCGCAAACACTCCGCCCTTGACGCTCCTAAACCCTAACTCCCTGAAACCCTAATTCCCTAAAACCCTAAACCCTAAAACCCTAAACCCTAAAACCCTAAAACCCTAAACCCTAAAACCCTGAAAACCCAAATCCCTCAAACCCTACAACCCTAAGCGTTTTCGGGTCTCAGCGCCCTAAACCCTAAACCCTAGGCCCTAAGCCCTAAGCCCTAAACCCTAAACCCTCAGCCATCCCAGAGCAGATCATTTCTCACTTCTTCTTCAAGTTCTTCTCGAAGTTCAAAGCGCGCTTCTTCTTCCAGCTCTTCCATCAAGACCTCTTCGGCCTGGGACTTTAGAAGTAACCCCTGGTATAAAGGTGGATGCAGACCCTAAACCCTGAACCCTGAACCCTGAACCCTAAACCCTAAACCCTAAACTCTAAACCCCTGCTTATGCGGTTTTTTTGGCTATGGGCTGTCTTATATGATAAGAACCCCCGAAGCCAACAAAGTTAACAATTCGTAGACTGCTCAAGGGCCCGGCAGCCTCCTCCCGCAGCTCTTCCTTGAGCTCCAGGACAACCTCGATCTTCATGTCCTTCCTCAACCTAGGAAGTTTAGGGTTTAGGGTTTAGGGTTTAGGGTTTAGGGTTTAGGGTTTAGGGTTTAGGGTTTAGGGTTTCGGGGAGTATTCCTGAACATGATTCCTCTTAACCACAATAAAGGAAAACACACAATGTCGCAAGGGCCTACCTAGCCACTCTTCGCAAACCTTCTGCTCAACGAGCTGCTTCAGCTCATCTGGCAAACCTTACGGTTGGTTCGTAGGGACCCTATAAGAAATCCCTTAAAGGGGTATATACCTGGAATTAGGGAATTCGGGGGCCCTATAGAATCCCTTAAAGGGGTATATATATATAGGGGATATAGGACCTTACTCACCGAAAAGGAAAGAAGCTTGGAAAGTTCGACATGACCTCTGCCACCTCCTTGGCAGCGAGCTCATCCAACTTCCGGTCGTCTTCATCGAAGCCCTGGGCATCTTCGACCTCCTCCGAGGCGTCCTCGTCATCTTCATCCTCCTCCTCCTCGTCATACCTAGGATGGCCCTAAAAACCTTCGAAAAAAACATTCCTGAATATATTATGCTCTTAAACCCAATAAGGGAAAATGTGAAATGTCTCAAGGGCATAGCTAGATACTCATCATACTCCTCATCCTCCTCCTCATCTACGGCATCGATGCCCATCTCATCACCAAGCTCTTGGGTCAAACTCTGACCTAGTTCATGGTTGGGATAGTGTTAAAAACAACTAAACTTCTATATTCCTTACTGAGTTTAAGTACCCTTAAGGAATGTAAAAATGCTGCCCCACTATGACAAAGTGACGAACCTCATCCTCGAGCTCGTCCTTCAGGGCGTCGATCACGTCTGTCCGGAGGTTCACCTTAGTTGTCAAGCACCTAGGGGTCTTAAAGGTTAACCTTTGGGAGTATAAGGGGAATATATTGCCCAAAAAAGGTTAAAGGTTACATACTCTACATCTAAGTCACCTTCAGACTCTCCCAGACCTCGTCCTCCAAGTCGTCGCCCAGGTCCCTGCGAACCTTCTTTCGCAATGCCTTGGTAGCACAGTAACCATCCCTAAACCCTAAAACCCTAAAACCCTAAACCCTAAAACCCTAAACCCTAAACCCGTTTTGGGGGTTGGCTACATGAAAACAGGAACCTGAGAACCAACAAGAACGCCAAAAAAAGGGGGTACCACGAACCCTACCCCAAGATGCCTCACATTGAAGCAGCTGTGTTCGGCATGAGTCCATCTGGGTGTCTTGCCCTTCTGCAAAGAACTCGCCCGGAATCAAGCTTGCCGGTGTTAGAAGAGGGTCTTCATTCTGCGCAGCTCCCCTGCTCAGACGCCTGCGGCCGACGCTGGCCGTTGCCAAAAGCCTCGGGCCGACTTCTGAAGCCCCTCCTAAAAGTTTTCAACTGTTTGGGCCCCTTCTTGTAGTTCCTAACAAAAACCCAAAATGGTTAAGAGTCCCAAGAGCCAGCCAAAAGAGAGCCAAGAAGCAAGGTCACGTTGAAAGAGCTGCTTCGCCAAGGTCTGCAAACCTTACTGGCTCAAAACCCAAGGAAATTAAAGTTGAAATTTTCAGAACAAACTACCTTATAAGAAGCCTAAAAGTCGAAAAGTTGGGTTTTGAGGCAGTAAGAAACCAGACGTCCTTGGACTTGGCCCTGGCCGGTCTTCCTCGCGATCTCCTTTTCAAAGGCAGTTCGGAGACTGCCTTGGTGGCCCAGAAAGCATACATCGAAATAGGGGCAGCGTGACTTTGCTGGGTTGCTTTATCAGGGCACCTTGAAGTCTACCCAAAAGGGAAGATACGTAAAGCAGCCTTATGTTGGTTTAGGGTTTAGGGTTTAGGGTTTAGGGTTTAGGGTTTAGGGTTTAGGGTTTAGGGCTTAGGGTTTAGGGTTTAGGGGTTAGGGGTTACTCTATAAGGGCACCTTGAACCAAGAAAAAAAAAGGAAAAGGTGAACCTCTGGGCTACCAAGCTGCGGGGATACACCGCCGGAAGCCTCACTCCCCCAAAGGTGGGCGACGGTGCGAACATTGCCATGGTGATTTCAGCAACTTCGAAATTAAAGTGTTTAGTGCTCTCGACGTTTGGTCGCTGGCCCTCTTTCTTTGATATGGGACTTTACGAAAATAGGGGACTCCGAATCAAGTCCCCCCAAATAAAAGCAGGACCCCGATAAGGTCCTCCTAAACCCTAAACCCTAAACCTTCTTTCTGTGATATGTTGTTATGGCCTATGGAATAATCTGAGCCCATACTTGGCAGCTCAGTAACCATACTATGGTAATTTACAAGGGAAGCTTGAACCAAAAAGGGTTCCACTGGGCTACCAAGTATAGAATGCAACATGAAGTTTGGCCGCAGTTTTCTTGCGTTGTTCCGATCTAATTCAGAGCCTCAAGAAGGCTGAATTTAGGCTGCAGCTCGACTCGTGCTATCTTCAACCAAAGCGGTGTGTGGCATGCGGAAGTGCGGCAAGCGATCTCCAAAAACTGAGGCGTATCACGCTCCACCCTAAACCCTAAACCCTAAACCCTAAACCCTAAACCCTAGACCCTAAAACTAGGCCGGCGTGTAGGCTGTCTCTGTCGGGAAGCGACCAGAAAGTCAAGAAAAAAAACAGGCTGCCAAACCCGAAACCCTGAACCCTACACCCTGAAACCCTTAAAACTTAAACCCCTAACACCTGACAGGGTTTAGGGTTTAGGGTTCAGGATTTAGGGCTTAGGGTTTAGGTTGTAGGGCTTAGGGTTTAAGACGAAACCCTGAACCGGAAAACCTAGGCCCCACGCCCGCCTGCCAGAGATCCTGGGTCACCTTCTCAAGCACCCCCTCGACATTCATGGATTCGGGATCCAGCCTTGGGTTCAGGGTTTAGGGTTTAGGGCTTGGGCTTAGTAATTAGGGTTTGGGGTTTAGGGTTACAAGTACTACCTGCTTTGGGGGCCTCGAGCCAACATGCTACATACCTACGTTGGGCTAAAATGGACGGGATGGCTATACTAGACCCAAGAGTAACCTAGGAAGAAAATGGTACCCTTTTCGGCTTAAAGGGCCTTACAAGGGAACCAAACCCCCAACAAAAAAGGAATAAGGGTCTGGGTCCTCGTATATTGGGCTTAGAGCCTGGGGCCCTAAACCCTAAACCCACACCCTGAACCCCAAACCCCAACCCTAAACCCCAAACCCCAAACCCTAAACCCTAAACCCTACACCTAGTGTTCTTGCAGTTCTGACGATGCTTCATGTCAATGGGCGGACAGCAAGGGCGAGGGGATCAGAATAGGGTCGACGATTCGGGCATGGGCTGTGCTTCCCCTGAAAGGGAAGTGTCCCGAAAGTTTAGGGTTTAGGGTTTAGGGTTTAGGGTTTAGGGTTTAGGGTAAACCCTAACATCTTACTCCCCAATCCGACAGCCCTAACATCCTAAACCCTAAACCCTAAACCCTAAATTCCTGAAACCCTAAAACCCAAACCCTAAACCCGAAACCCGAACCCAAGGCCAAACCCTTGAATCAAAACAGCATAGACTTAGACCGCCCACTTTGGGTTCTTAAGGGAGGTATAGGGTTTAGGGTTCAGGGTTCAGGGTTCAGGGTTCAGGGTTTAGGGAGGGTCGCTAACTAGGGAACCCTAGGGAAGCTTAGGGAGCCTTAGGGGGTACTGAGGAGTATTGGGAAACCTTGGCTTACTTACAACCCTCGAACCCTAAACCCTAAACCCTAAACCCTAAACCCGAAACCCGAAACCCTAAACCCTAAACCCTAAACCCTAAACCCGAAACCCGAAACCCTAAACCCTAACCCTCCCTTAAGAACCCCTACAAGCCCAGGTCGCAACGTGAGCAGCGAATCCAGCTGCCTTATGCGGACGGAGCCTCAGAAACAAAAAACTCAGAGGCACGACTCCCTCGTTCCTCCTGGAAAGATCGCTGCAACATCTAAACCCAAAGGCTATCAGGGCTAGGGTTTAGGGTTCTACACCCTAGCCACCTCACTTTAGGGGTTGGGGTAACCAAAGAATCCTCATGATGCAGCCCCTAACCAAAAAAGCCCTAAACCCTGCGCCCTAAACCCTAAACCCTAAACCCCGAACCCTGAACCCCTAAAC